CCCCCATATAAAAAAAAATTGAACAATAAACAAGGAACTGAAAACTAACACACAGAAGAGGTGTGGAGTTGCTGAAAGTGCACCAGAGAAGGGGGTGGGGCAAGGAGCTAATCTCCACATGAACTTTCAGTAAACAAAGAATGGAAAGGCAAAGGGGCAGACAGCAGGTGGGTGATAAGCCACTGCCTGAAGTAGGACAGGGGATTCCAAGATGGAATCTTTACCTTAGCCTGCTCTTTCCATGCCTCTCTTTTGGTTAGAGAAGTTATGGGTTGAGCTGCAGGAGCAGCACTGTCCCCTATCAGGCAGATGTGCATGTGCCTTCTCTCAATCCCTTTAGTCAAAGACTGTCTCAAGATGGAGCTGTAGGAGGCAGGCAGATTACCATGAGCTGATCTGGCCTGTGTGGTAGGCCTCAGGTCTGAGAGTGACTAGCTTACTTGCATAGTTTGTGGACTCATCTCTAGTGTCTCTGGTATATGAGGGAATTCAGGTTGTAGGTTAGGGACTGTCCTGTGGCAACTGGAGGCAACTCACATCCAGACAGAAGAAGATTTTAAAAAAAGAAGGGCTGGCAGCATGGCTCAAGCAGTAAGAACACCAGCCTCACAAGTTTGAGGCTGAGTTCAAACCCCATTGCCCTCTAAACAATCAATCAATCAAACAAACACACAAGAAAGCCCAGCAGAATTCTGGTGGTTGTTGTGGCATGGAGTGGAACAGGTCCCTGCCAGCAACCATATGCCTGTGTTGGATTTGTGATTTTAAATTTTTATTAACAAGTTGATATCTCCAGTTATGGTCTCTTTTTTTTTTAAGGAAACTTACCTGAGAAACTGCCCTAGCAGTCATGAACTCAAGGTTTTCTTTCAGGTTTGTGAGGGTTCTGGGACATGGAGGCTATCAGCAATCAATCATCTTGCTCTGCTCCCTAAATTTCATTCTTAATGAATAGGAAGTATCTTTATATTCCATAAAACACTACAAGATAGTATCTCATGACAACTTGTAAATTTTCTCTAGCAAAGATACCAACAGTTCCATTAGGCCCAAGGTTTGGCTCTATTTGTGGGAGTTCATTGTATACTCAAGAATCCATCATTGCTGGTAGCAGTGGTTCACACCTGTGATTTCAGTTACTCTAGAGGTGGAGATTAGGAGGATCACAGTTCAAGGCCAGCCTGAGCAAAATTTAGTGAGACTCCATATCAACAAAAAAGTTGGGTGTGGTGGCACTTGTCTGTTATCTCATCTATGTGGCAGGCATAATTAGGAATGTTGTGATCCAGGTTGGCCAAGGCAAAAAATGAGACCCCACTTGAAAAATAAAGCCAAAATGGCTGTGGCATAACTGAAGTGGTAGAGCACCTACCTAGCCAGGCTGTGAGTTCAAACCCCATACCACTGAAAGAAAAAAGAATTCATTGTCTTTTTGTGTTCCATATGAATAAATTAAAAGAGTACACAATATGGGTTACTGTCCCCATGACCTTTAGGACATTTAAGGGTGGGATAATCAGTGCTGTTGGCCAGAAATACAGTTTTGTTTTTTAACATAATATCTTGGAAAATTGTGCAGCATTAGTTTCTTATTATTAGTTTCTAATTTTTCTTACCTTATTTGGTTTGATAGCTCTTTCTCCACCAAACAAGGAATTAGTGTGGTGTTACGTTAAATCCTATTATAAATGTGAAGAATGGAAAGATAGAATGGAAAGATGACCACTTTTGATATGTGGATCTTTTGGACCTAATGAGAGCCAGGCTTTGAGCAGTTTACATATGTACATATATGTGTATATATATATAAATATATATATATATATATATAATCTTTTTCCATAATACTTCAACACTAAGACATATTTATAATTATGTGAGGGCCAGTATTACTTATTGATCATGACATTCATTATGAACTCTGTACAACAGATCTTAATACAACCACATATTCTATTTTTTCCAGTGGATAAATAATTACTGTTAGTGTCCCTTTGAGGGTATGGCCTTTTCTCATTTTAACAGTTTTTGTGTCTGAGAAGTGGCTGTTTTTTTTGTTTGTTTCAATATTTTTCTTTCTTTTTTTTATTGTTTTATTATTCATATGTGCATACAAGGCTTGGGTCATTTCTCCCCCCTGCCCCCACCCTCTCCCTTACCACCTACTCTGTCCCCTCCCTCTCCCCCCCACCCCCTCAATACCCAGCAGAAATTATTTTGCCCTTATCTCTAATTTTGTTGAAGAGAGAGTATAAGCAATAATAGGAAGGAACAAGTGTTTTTGCTGGTTGAGATAAGGATAGCTATACAGGGAGTTGACTCACATTAATTTCCTGTGTGTGTGTGTTACCTTCTAGGTTAATTCTTTGTGATCTAACCTTTTCTCTAGTTCCTGGTCCCCTTATCCTATTGGCCTCAGTTGCTTTTAAGGTATCTGCTTTAGTTTGAGAAGTGGCTCTTTCTGGAAGCTGATTAAGCTATCATGGCCAATATTGAGATGAGTGATGTCAAACTCCTGATTGTCCTTCCTTAATTTCCTTTGGTGTTTATATTAGTTTATTCTGAGGCATCCTATCTATTTTCCCAGAAAGATAATGTGTTTTATGTATCAGTATAACAGGCTCTTCTTTTGGTAAATTCTCTGGAAAGAGTTTGAGGTAGGTATTTGTGTACATGGGGTTTGAAAGAAAGTGCATGTAAAGCCAATACTGAGTGTTGGGGACTCAGTATTGGGAAGAGGGAAAAGTTGAATTTTCCTCAATCTTTCTTCCTTAAAAATGCATGCCTCAATTCTTTAATAATTATTTCTTCAAGAATTGGATATTTTATATTTTATAGCCATTTAAAAATGGCTATATTTGCCATTTTTTGTACTTACAGATTCACTTTTAACAAAGAACAGAAAACAGAAGTGAAGGTTTGAGACTTTATAACCTAGGTTATAAATAGACATTGTGGCTACTATCTAGTAAGTTTCTTCTCTCTCAAGCCATGTTGAAAATAGGCTCTCTGTCACTTTAAAAGTTTTATATAACTACACCTTCTGCTATAATCTTCATAACAGAACTGGAGTTGAAGGTTTGTATCCATCTAAGCTGCTTCATTACTATCAACATCAGAAATCATGAGAAAATATAAAGTGCTAATTTGTCAGTTATTCCCTGTGTACCAATGTATAACTAATAATAATTTTTGATTCTAGTAGTGAGGTGCTGTCATAATAAATGCATGCAAATATGGTAGTGATTTTTGAACTGGGCAGTTGGTAGAAACTGGATAGAGTTTTGAACATATGAATGAATGTGAAAAACCCTAAAGAATTTGTAAAAACATTCTCTCCTTTCAGAAAACTATTGTTGGGCTCAATAAATGTGAACATGTGAATGAAGGAGCATCCTTGTTGTGCAATCATAGATCAAGAAGAATTGTATTCCATACACTGTCTTTGGATTACTGTTGTCTGTACCTGAATCTTTCCTAGATGATAAGATTGTGTATTTTGTTCTGATACTGTATTAAAGGTGAGAATCTGGGAATTTTTGAGTAGAATGAATATAGCTTGCATGTAGAAGAAATCTAAATTATTAGTGGCCAGTGAAGTCTCTGGTTTAGTTTTTTGACTTTTCTAGGGGATCACAACTAGGATTTGGGCTTCAATCTCAGTAGGAGACTTTGGACTTGGATTTTTTTTTTTTTTTTTTTAGCAATTCTGCAACTGTGAACTCTGTGGAGACTCTTAGTGATGGACTGAAAATATTTTGTCTTGTGAGGTGCACATAAAATTTTGAGTTCATGGGTGGGACATAATAGTTCCAATTAGGAGTGTCCCATTAAGTCTTATGTGCTAAAGGCTTAGCTGCCAGCCAGTGGCACTACGAAGAGGTTATGGAAACTTTGGAGTTGGCACCTTGTTAGACAATATTAGTCACTAGTGTGGTCTTTCAGGGGGTATTGAGACCCTGGCCACTTTGTGTCTTTGCTTTCTGGTGATAATGAAGTTGGCAGCTTGGCTTCATCCTCCTAATCATATGTTTTGCCTTTCCAAATGCAATGGACCAAGTGACCATGGACTGAAACCTCGGAAACTGTGAGGCAAAATAAATCTTTCCTCCTATTGTTTTTTTAAATATCAGGAATTTTGTCAATACAACAGAAAGCTGACTAGCATACTAATATAAATATTTAGATAAAGTTGGAACTATTTTCCAGTTGCTTTAAAACTGTGGGGTTTTTAATTGTGCTCACTTCATCAATTATTCTCTCTATAAATTGGGGGAAAACACATTTTTAAATCATATTCTATCCTAGTGTTTGGAGCTGGAATGTCCCCCAAAGTCTCATGTATTGAAGACTTGGTTCTCAGCTATTGGTACTATTGGGAAAGGACGGAGAATTTAGGAAGTGGGGTTTAGTTGGAGGAAGTAGGTCACTGTGTGGGGTGTGCCTTTGAAGGTTCATTTTGTTCCTGACCTCTTCCTCATGCTCTCTTTCTCTGTCTCTCTCTCTCCCTCTCTGTCTTTTCTCTCCCCACCATGGTATGGGCAGCTTTTCTCCAGCCCAACCTTCTTCCAGAACCAGAAAAAATAGAGCCAAGTGAAACCCATGAAACCACGAGTAAAAATAATTCTTCTTCCTTTTAAGTTGGTTTTCTTGAGTATTTTTTTCACAGCAATGGAAAACTGACTAACCAACATCCTATCCAGAAATACAGTAGGTATCTACTTATTTTTTATTATAATGACATAATTATAATTAGTATCTAATTATGTAAATAACGTGCCAGGATTCCTTCCAATGTATTGTGGTTTCCTTCAAATGTCTTATTGTGATTCATAATATAGATATTTTATATATATTGCAATTTAGTATCACAATTGTAAATGTGACCCATGTTTTCTATTATGCCAATTTATTTTAAAAACTTTACTAGTGTATAGGAATGATCTTGACATTCTTTCCTTTAAATTGCTTTTTGAGTAGAGGTCAATTCCTGGAATTCCTTAAAACTGTGTCACTTTGGTGAAGGTATCTTCCTGCTTTGCTTGTCTTGAGCTTTTCTCTCTAGAAAAGAAATAGCAAAAACAGCAATTAAATAAGCACAAAAATGAAAAGACATGGAGAAAACATATTTTCAGCTTTCTTTAGAGTAAGCTGATCTTGTGTCTACCAGCTGGCAAAAACCGTGACTCCTGCCCAAGTACTTGGGGTTGATCTTCCTGGCAGTAATGGGGAAGGCAGTCTTGATAGTTTCTATTGTAACCTTTGGACATCATGGCATTCTCTAAAGGGGATTTTGGAAAAAAAAAAAAGGGAAGTACACCAACATTTTATATTCTTCTCCATTATCCATCATTTTAAAATCTCTTTATTTACCACTCCTTTCTTCTCTTTCATAAACATTTTCAATCACTGTAAATATCACAGGCAATGCAACAAGTCTTCCCCTTAGATACATCATCATCTGTGGGAGATGCTCTAGTTTTATAATGATCTCTACCAAGTTCCACCATGACCAAGCAGTACCTGGGTGTTGGGGAAGTAAGATGAAATTTATATTTATGTTTATGAAATACCTTCATACTGGGGCAGGGAAGGCATAAAAATTTTCATTCTGTTTACTTGTACATCTCCTGTTTGGAAGAGCTGGTCTGTGTAAATCTAGGAAACCTCAGGGGACCCTTAAAACCACTGGTAAATGAATGGGGCCATTTCTAACCCAAGGACACTAATCACTTGGAATGAGCCCAGTATTTTCTGGAAGACAATCAGAGCTCTGGAAGAACTCTGAATTGTGATTTGTCTTCCTCATTACAGAACTAGCACCAAGTACCCTAGGGGACAGCTAGAGGTTTTACTCACTCATTTTTTATATCTTGGATGGAGTCAGGCAGAGGCTCATTCCTGGTTTCAGGAAGGAGAAGGACAACAAGGCCAGAGAGGATGGCAAAAACTCCATAGGTGATCCAGGGCAAAGGTGCAAAATATGTTGTTAGGATCATCAAAAGGGGAGCCAGGGCTGCCCCAATACTACCAGCAATTCCAATGATTCCTAAGGCTGTTGCCCTTGGAGCAGAAACAATACAAAAGTAGTTGGTTAAAATGCACATATGGAATTCACAACTTAACATCTTGCATTAATTATGGGACAGAAAGCAATGTATTTAGACATAGGTTGAGGAGTGACTCTGGCTGTTAAAATTTTTGTTTTCTAATATAAAGTGCTATTATGCATACCTGACTCATGGCTTACATTTTAGGATGGCATGTACAATGTATCTGTGTTTGTCTGCATATCTGTTCATGTATAGATTTATGTATTTACATATATGTGCTTTTTTCTGCCTCTGGATACTATTATCAAATTCTTAAATTCATTTATGGGGTTTTAGTCTGATTAAGTTAGTGATAAATAAGTCCTTATATAAATTAACTATTCCTGAAAAATATCAGGAATATAAAAACTAACTGAAGTTCTCTGCAATTTTGCACATGCTTTGGACAAATCTTTGATATGTAAAATCAGTTCTTACTATTGGTCTAATAAAAATACTTATGTCTTCTCAGTAAAAAAAATACATAAAACTTCTGTTTTCTTTGCTATCATTTTTCTCAGGTTCACAGAATAGTAAAATATTTATCATTTAAAAATAATATTACTGAGTATGCTTGTTTTTTGGGTAACTCTAAAGATTGAATGAGGTGTAGATTGGTGATAGACTAGTGGATTAAGCACTACCTGGGGAAAATTTAGACTTTAGATATAATTGTTGTTATCATTGCAATTGATTGCTTTTGTTAACTATCCAGACCTGTTTTCTTCCCTCAATGAGTCTACAAGCTGAAAGAGGTGTTCTTTGATTCTGACAGGAAACCCATGAAATTTTGTACCTGATTACAGTGGGAAGTAGTTCATTTGCATGGCCAATAGAACTGGTAGCTGCAGCAGCAAAAGAAACTCCTCCTCCCAAAACTGTCAAAACCATACGCAGGGTCTGCATTTCTGGAAACAGAAGACCAGGGTAAGTCAGGAAGCCTGAGTTGCTGGAATCAGAATTCCCCAAATCACAAGTGGAAAACACCCTCATTGGATGGGATATAAGTGCAGACTATATTGTGGAAAAAAGCCACCAAGACAGAATTTCAGCATTGGCTAACCAGCTGAGAAATGTGACTTCTATCTATGCATTTTGATTTATGGTAAATAAAAAGTTCTGAACAATTGTATTCACTCTCCTTGCATCTCTGAAATTTGCCAAAGAAGGAGTGAGGATGTTGTTTATAACAAGAGTTCACTTTCATGTCTGCTGTTCCAGGTCTCCTATGCCCTTCACTCAGAATGTAGATATGTCATGTGAGAAATTACTGAGGACTATGAATACATCCAGGTACTCAAGGAGTTAAAAAATATGATTGATAAGTGTTAATGACACATAGATCTAGTATTGCAGAGGAAAGTCATAAAAGAATGAGAGTCCTACATTGATGGGCAAGCTGGAGAGAAGATAGAGCTGGAATAAGGCATGAAGACTAAGAACAAAGGCTTTCTTCAAGTAAAAATGTCAGATATTGGAAATCACTAATAGAAAGTCTCATAGGTCAGTTTTCTACTTAATTAAAAGCTCCTGAGAGCTGTAAACATTAGAGTGGGTATAGTTGTAAGGCAGCAAACTGATATCATTGGTGACACGGAAGAGTAGTGGAGCCCTCCCATGGAGCCCTCCCAGTTTTGGTAGTAGTGGAGTTTGAGATTTTATACTGGTAATTCAGCAAACATTCATTACATATTTCCATCCAATTTGGTAAGATTGATTCAAAGACAGAGTGTTAAGGGCTTAATAAATTGTTGCTTTTGTGTACCTCTACCTCTTCTCTACTTAATGTTTATTTTCTTACATTGCCATAACTCTTTAAACCAGGGGTGCAGGGTGACCTAGTAGGAGATTTATGAGTTGATATTCAGAGTTCAGGAAATACAAATTCCAACATGAGAGGAAGTAATATAGCAGAGTAGACAAAGGAAGTGGCAGTATGGTATGGGCATACTAAGACAATTATAAGGTCTAGACTGTGAATGTTTCCCATGAAAAGTGTGACTGACTAATGAGCAAATGATCCATTGCTGACCTAGAGAAGCTCAGGAACAACTGATACCAGTTTCTAGAGACTTATCAAATACCATGAAGACAATCATATGTAAGAATTAAAATTTACTGACGTTTAGCTCTTTTCCCAGCACCTTAACAGCAAAATTTATCTTAATTGGCCAGATTGGTGTCATTGAATCCTTAGAACACAATTCTGATTTTATATAGGTGTGACTTGAAAAATTCTGAGAAAAGCACTGTACAAGTTCCTTACCTTGAGGCACAAAAATGATTGTCAAAATGAAGATTCCCACCAGGGACATGAAAAGCAGTTGGCTTATTCGACGACCCAGCCGATTCATAGCAAAAAATGCCACATAATTGGCTGGGAGGGTGAGTACACCGAAGAGACCCTGCAACAGGAAAACATTACTCCCCAGGTGTTGCAGGTGGAGAATCAAGCCAAAACCTGGCATCCATGTTGAGAATCTATAGTGAACAAAGAACACAGACATATGTCTTAAGATTTAGAGTCTAGGTTCTACATATGAAGATAATATTGGCATAGGAAATTGGTTTTGTTAAAATACAAAGGCATATCTGTGTTCTATAGCATTTCCTTATGGGGAATGATTATACAATCACCTTATAATAACTATATGATGATGGAGCCTATCATTGTTAATATTTTTGGAAGGGCAAAGGAAATTATGGAGGATACACAATAGGTCCTTCTGAGATTTTAGTTTTTCCTATATCTTGTCCTGAATGAAGCATATAACTTTATGTATATGTATACAGACAAGTATTTGTTCAGCTGTACAGATTTATAAATTTTAGTAATTGAAAATTTACCTCCATTAAATGGAAACAGAAAAACTCAGAGGCAAAATTAGTACCATGATTGAGCTCTCAGCATCAGTCAATGGTGATGAGCCTGGAAAAGTGGTGATAAACATAACTCCCCACTATACAGATCTCAAAACCTTTTGACTACATTTAGCCATAGCAATTGTGTGTATGCCTTCCTCATCTTTTATCTCCAAATCTATTCCTACCACATAGTGTACCCTTTGATAGATTCATTTCGCCCATGATAATAAGAACTGTGTGAAGCGTACCTCACAAAGGAAAGAAGAAACATCCGCTTACGCAGTTGGGAGTTACGGAATAAATCACCCAGAGAACTTTTTGTCTGTGCTGCCTCCAGCTCCTCCTTCATGGTGGATGTCACAGCCTTCGAAAACAGCAGCAACAACACTGGTCAGTTGTCACAAAATGGGGGGGGGGCATTGTTGGGAAACCAGGCACACACAAAAGACAAGATTGCTGATTATCATTTATGTCTAGTGGACTAAGACATTGAAGAAGAAATAGCAGGCATACAAATGGTGGGAAATGTAACTTGGGAGTTGAAGAAACCTCTGAAAATTTTCAGTGAGGAAATATTAAACAGGATATTAATGCAGGCTATAAGCATTGACAAGAGTGCATGGGTTAGAGATTCAGAGCAACAAGGAAACTTAGATTATGATCCAAAGCTTCATTTATACCAGATGAATATGAAAGACATGGCAACTGGTTTTGGTTCTCCACTGGTTTCAATGGTAGAAAAACTGTTGGTTAGTCTCCGGAAAGAGAGTAATTTCCTGAGTCTTTTAGTTTTCAGGTCATGCTATACCAAGAAAATTCTGGCATAGTGCATCTCCATGAATGAGATGCTTGGAAATAAGTCTGAGGCTTCAATCAGGGTGGTCCAGGTCTTGGTGTAGTAATAGTTACACGCAGACTAGCTTTGAACTTGGAGTTATACAATGACTGTGCTACTTGCTTGGTAGATACCTTAGAAAGGTGACAGAACATCTCTATGCCTCAATTTTTTTCTGTCATGAAAAAGAGGGAAAAGAAGAAAGAATGTAAGAATCTGGATCAAGAGAAAAAGTAGAGGAATGAGAAAAGTAATGTTTCATGGATTTCCTAGGCTGTGCACAAAGTATATATATATAAAATTATTTCAAGTAGAGTTCAGGGCCATAGTTTGTTTAATACTTACTCAAAATATTAGTTCCATGGTCATCCATCTCTACAAAGGAATCAATACTACAAAGGGTGTTGGAAAAATTTCATGATGAAGCAAATTCAGAGAAAAGTTAGTAAGGCAGCTGAGGATTCTAACAGTACCAAGAATGTCTCTTCAGTTTGCTGCCCCAGCCTCAGCAGCAAAACACTGGGCTTATGATTTTTAGAAAGGAGTCATGGTGGTGCCCTCTGCATCATGAACCCATCACATGACCATTTTATCGTGATATCATGAGAATGGGCTCCAAGGACACCTTTAACCAGGGCCATATGAAGTCTTGAAATGTCTGTGACTACAGCCTTCAAACACAACTAATATCAGAATATCGTATCAGGGTATGCTGGGATCATCTTGTACTACTTACTCATTTTTGATAATGAAGTAGAAATATGAGTAGAGTTACCAGAAATATTTATGCAGAGAATGCTAGATCACTTGTGGGGATTCCTAATAGTGAGCTTTCCTACCAGTAACATCTTTACATGGAGAAAAGGAGGCACATACTAAAATGAGAATTTAGAATTTACATTTTAAATTGCATCTTTCCCTATAATTTTTATATGTGCCAATCATAAGACCTCATTGTGGTAAAACATCTGAAATAATCTCACACCTCTAGTTATGCTCACTAGTCCTAGTCCTAGATCCACTTTATATAGGTGAACAAGAGCTGTTTGTTAAAATTTTAAGTAAATTATGAGCAGCCCATTGACATCATGATCCTAGCTCAAAACCCACTGTGATGGAAGTATACACATCATGGAAAGTGATAATTGCTGCAATTCTGGGACCTAGGGTTTCTTTTTTTAGAGCCTGTAATATTGTGAATTAAATAGTCACTGGAAAACCAGTGGCCTTACTCACCAGCCGTCATTTGAGCTGCTCTCAATGCAAACAGTAACATTCCTGGCTGTTTAAAGCTGCTAGAACTACTCTAACCTGTAAGGCATATTCAGACATTATAACTTCCCATATGTACTCAGTCTCCCATCCTGTCTCCAGGTTGAGTCTCCTGCCTTGGGATTCACATATCACCCTTGCTTTACTGTCCAAGACCATTTTCTTTTTGAGGAAGGTGACCTTTCTGAAGACACAATCTTCAGGCTTCTTTCCCACATCAAAGAATTTATCACAGTTATGGAACATAACTCTAAGGGAGAAAGTAAGGAAAGAAAAAGATATGGGGAAGGAGGAGGAATAGAACAGATACATACTAGAATGCATTTGAAGCTGAGAGATCTGACACTCAGAACAGGAATAAAGATATCAGCTCAGCTTCGGGAAGGTGATTGTGGATGCAACCAGAGACAGAGGAAGTTGATAACTATTTTTTGCTTTTCAAATCAATTTATTAAGATATAATTGACATAAAAAGCTTCACATTAAACATGATTTTGCAAATAACTATATACCTGTGAGGCTACGACAATAATCTATGCCACAAACGTATTGAGCCCTTACATATGTCCTCCTACACTCTTTATTCATTTTTATTTTTTGTGACAAGAATACTTAACATGGTATCTATGCACTTAATAATTTTAAGTACATTATAAATTTTACTATAGACTTTGCTATTCTTACTGCACATTTCCAATTTACCTAAGATGAATAAGAAACTTTGTACCCTTTCACTAACATTTCCCATCCCCTTAGCTCCTGGCAACCACTACTATAGTTTCTGCTTCTATGAGTTGTTTATATTTTAAATTTCTCATGTAAGTGATATCATGTAGTGCTTGATTATTTAGATTCTATGTAAATGTGAAATCATGTGTCTGGCTTATTTCACTGATTCTACTACTCTCCAGATTTCTCTGTGTCATTGCAAGTGGAAATGTTTCACTCTTTTTCCAGGCCCAAGAATATTCTATTTTATGCATATACCATGCTTTCTGGCTTTTTTTTTCGGTACTGGAGTTTGAACTCATGATCTTGCTCTTACAAGGCAGGCACTCTACCACTTGAGCCACTCCACTAGCCCTATACCATGCTTTCTGTATTCATTCATGTGACCACAGGCATTTAGGTTCTTTCCATATATTGACTCCTGTGAATAGTGCTGCAGTAAACAAGGCAGTGGAGATACCATATTGTGATCCCAATGTCAATACTTTTGTAGCTATTAGAGAAGTTGGGACAAGAAACCTTAAAGTGATAGAGGTCAATATGAGAAGGGGGATCAGGAACTAGTGAAAAGGTCAGTTAGAGGTGAATCAACTTGGGATGTAACACATTTGTACATGGAAGCAATGCTGGGAATCTCTCTGTATAGCTATCCTTATCTCAACTAGCAAAAACGCTTTGTCTTTCTTATTATTGCTTATACTTTCTCTTCAACAAAGTTAGAGATAAGGGCAGAACAGATTCTCCTGGAAGTGAGGGGGGATGGGGAGGACAGGGAGGGAGCAAGGGTAGGGGGAAGAAATGGCCCAAACAATGTATCCACATATGAATAAACGTATAAAAAAATAAATAAAATTAAAAAGAAGAAGTTGGGGCAGATATATTGATCAAGTAATAATTCTACTTAATATTTTTAGTACATATTAATTGTACAAAGTACAAATTAATGGGTTTCATTATGATATTTTATGTGGTTTCACTGTGATATTTTATGCATGCATATAATGTATTTTGATCATATCCACCCCTGCATTACTCTTTCACGTACTTTCTCTCTACTATCTCTTGCCCTTTCTCCTCCACTTTCCTAGTAGTCCCTTTTTCATTGTAATGATCTTGTGTTTTTTTCCACAGCTTCAACAAATAAGAGAAAACATGGATACTTGTCTTTGTGGACTAGGTTATTTCACTTAACATGATTATCTCCAGATCCATCCATTTTCCAGAAAATGACAGTTTTACTATTCTTAACCATTTAGTAACATCTTATTGTGCATATATCATATTTTCTTTATCAATTCATACAATGATGTATGCATATGGTGGAATGGTTAAATATATTTTCATATGTGTATATAAATGGGCAATATATATTTCAAAACATCATGTTGTAATGATAAAAACACAATGTCATCTGTCAATTGAACAGTGAATTGAATAAACATAAAGAGTAAAATCCTGTGGAGGATATTCTACAAATTAAATTCAGTGTTTTTAGCAATAGCATGTTGCATCTTTGAACATGAAATAAACCATGTTAGGCTTTGTGTCCCTATGTCTCATACAAAGTACCCTCCCACTCACCTCCACAGTTAGGGTAACTCCGGAATTTTTCATTCCATTAATGTGTGCAGCTCTTCTAAGTTCCTTTAAGCCTTTCTGAGGCTTGTTGGTGATGATCAGCCACCGAGCAGACTCTGATAGCCACCTGATCAAGGAGATGGTGGAAGTGTAGTCAAGTCTTACATGGTCATTTTCCACATCACTTGTATCTTCAGATATCTTTCTCTTTCTGTCTAATACCTACCTTTACTCATTTGTACCAAGAACATCATCTCATGTTGTCTGGTACCATAACTAGGAAAATAGGAACGACCTCTCCATATAGTACTCCTGCACTTTTGGGAACACAGACCTGGAGTTGTATTGGAGCCTCTCTTAGTTGAATAAAAATTTACTAGGAGATCATAGATTGAGAGTGTGTGGGACACTTACTTTGTGCAGACTTTGTCATGTTCCTTATAAGGGCATAATGATATCTATTCATAATGTATTATTTTCCTAATATAAGTACCCCCAAATTATTTTTGTTCACTAAACATGTCATATATATTGGAACCCATCCTAATCCTAGCATCTGTGATGGCATATGCTCACACAAACATGCTAAATCTGCCTCAGTTTTAATGGGCACAGAGTATCACAAAGTTTGTAGATTTGTTATCAGGATAAAATGACACAATGGATGAGTCTGTCAGAGGGTACACCCTCTGGTCTGTCTGACTCATCTCACTATATTAAGTCTGTAGTCACCTCTGGGAGTCATTTCTAACTACATAGGCCTTCTGTCCTGAACCAACATCACCTACTTTTTTAAGTCTTTTTAAAAAGAAGAAAGGAAAGGGATACAAAGAACACATGATGTAAGTGGCCCATTCTGCCTACATTTTTCAACTAAGGAGCTATGCCACTCCTTCCTTCACTACTTATGTGTATATATTTATTTCTTCCTTCTTTCATCCAGTATCGACCTCAAAGAGGAAAATCACTAACATTTCTATCCTGTTTTTCTTTACATAGCCACACATACAAATACAAACCCAGTGAAGTCACTTTCATCTTCAAAAGTTTTTCTCTTTGAAGGAAAATATTTTTGCAAAATTCTACATACTACCCCATCTACTAAGGCTCACTGGCAAGGGGAACCAGAAAACCCAGAGCATTCAGGTGAAGATTTATGACTACTCCCTGTTTTTAGGGTTGTTTATTTTATTAAATAAAATTAAGGTGTGCATAGTTAAATTTGAATATCAAATGGTGTATAGTTCTTTGTTATAGCAATATTATATGCAATGTTTTTTATGTGCTCACAGTGAAAATATTTGTTTACTTGAATATGAATATACTGGGATATAATTTATCCAATTTTTAAATAAAATATAGAATTGTTGGTTAAATAAAAATGTAATATAGAGAATAATTTTCAGTATGATTGTATCTCTTGCAATATTTGGATATATTTTTACAGAAGTGTTTATTGGTTATCTTAAATTCCAATCTAATTCAGTATCTTTAACTTTTTCTGGCAATTCCTTGTTCTTTTCATGTTACCTTTAGGTACATATGAGGAGAGTACACCTTCAGGTGATAACCAAGGACCAAATAAGTTTCTTGTGTCCTGATTCAGTGTGTATTTTCATCCCTGGATCCCATTAGGTGGAGGAAGAAAGAAAGTTCATACCTTGTGAGTATAAATGAGAAAAATATCGGAACAGAAAACACCAACTGGAGGGTGCACCAATCTCGAATAACAAAAGCCAGGCCTCCCAATAATATCTGTCCAAAACCGGAAGCACATGCTGATAGTATTATTCCCATGGCTTGGAATTTGGGCTTTGTCCATTCTATAACTGAAAGACAACACAAACTGAATCTTCATCTCAAGCAAAGATGGAACATCAAGTCTCAATCAAGGTTTGGAAATTTTCCAAGATTTGAAGTTTTGACTTACTGAGCATAGCACTATTTGTCATTATGGCTGTGGTAGACAGTCCAGCCAGGAAGCGAAGCAAACAGTAAACAAGGAAAGTGGGAGAAAAGGCTGCACCAGTTTCAACGATGGCCAGTTGCAGTAAACAATATGCCATAATTAGCCTTCTCCCAAACCTGAGACAAAGGGAAAAATTGGATTATGGGAACAGCAACAACTCCTGTAAAATTAGCACAAAGGAAGTGCTTTGAAACTATAAAGAATGAAGAAATAACCAACAGCAGATATCTTCAAAAGCATTTCTCCATGCTTGTAAAGAGACACTCTGTGTACCAAAGATGCTTCTCTAATTGGTTACCAGTTTGGCCACCATTCAAACCATGTAAGATAAGTTATTATATTGGAAAATTTAGCACATTGGAAGTCTTCTTGTACTAAGACATGCATTTAGCACAGCAGAGAGTCTTTATAACATATAAAGTATCAAAATCAGGTCTTGGGATCCAGGATTCATGTGTCATGTTTAAAGTAATATAATGGGACATTTGTGAAGTAACACATTGAATTTGTTGATGAGTGGCATAAGAACTCTCTGTTGAGTTTGGAGTTGTTGGCCTTGGGCAATATGCCACCTTCTAGTATAGGATATAAGAGAGCCATGATGCAGACTGGGGAACTTAGAGAAAGTTCTGAGAGGTAAGAATTAAGCAAGGTAGACAATGAACAAATATAAAGGGGAACAGTTTTTTTTTAAATAAAATGGAGTCTAAGTTTCATAGACTTCTGGAAGTGTGATCTTTTCTGTCATGTTCAGAATGTCAAGCCTTTGGTTATAATCTGGTTGTCCATTCCCAAAGGAAGGCTGAGGAACAGTCAAGGAGCCCCACTCTTGTACTAAAATTACAAATAGGTATGTGTATGTATTCCAATGATATAGTAGCAGACACACAAAAGAAAAAGAAGGATTTAACATATTTATGTACAATATGAACTAAATATACATGTAAACAAAAAATCCACATTTGGGAAAACACATTAACTTAGAAAAGCATAGGTAACAGTCTAGAATGATCCTTTATTAAGAGGAGGGTATAGGCATGCTTCCAAGTTTTGTAATGAAAAATCAGCCAATAACCTATTGAGGATCCATTGAGTGTGTAAATGCACTCCTCTCTTCACTCAAAATTCTCTTTGATTTTTCAGTATTCTGATCTTAATTTGTCTCAGTCTAGATCATTTTCATTGAGTCTTTTGGATTAATATATTGATTTTTTCATTAAATATGGAAAGAGTTCTTTATATAATCTCTGTCCATTTTCCTTTCTTCTTGTCCTTCTCCTCTTCCTCCTTCCCTTCTCCTCCTCCTTTTTCTTCTTTGACTCCCTTAATATCATCATTTTTCACATAAAGCTTTCCTTACTTTCTGTTCTTTGTCCATGTTCTATCTTATCTTTTGAGCATATTTAAAATATTTGTTCTAAATTGTTTGTTTGCTGTCTGTGCTTCTTTAAATCTCTTGCTTTAGATATGTATGGGCCTTTAGTACCTTGTAGCTTTTAGGAGTAATGCCTACTGAAGTTACATAGGAAAAATGGGGAGAAGTGCATTAGTAAACAAAAACTTAATGTAAAATTATAGAGCAAGTGCAATCCATATAATAACATCACATGTGAATGAACTAAAACCTCAATGAAAAAGTAGATATTATTAGAATGAATTTGAACATAGTTCATTGATTAATTGAAGATAAATGTAAAACAAACATGTAAATTTTAAGAATACAATGGTTGGAGAGGCTATGTTAATATCAGATAAAACAGGTGAGTTAGGATTTAAAAAAGGAAGGCAAGAAGGTGAATATGCTTTCTGTACTTTCTAAATGTGAAGGAATATAGAATTTTTAAATTTGTTGAAAGCATCATATGACAGGGACTAAGGTAGAAAGAAGAAAAATAGAGGGGATAAACCAATTTGTGTTATAATACATATATACAAGGAAATGTCACAATGAAACTCCCTGTATAGCTATCTTAAACAAAAAAATACCTTTTTTTTTTTTTGCAAAAACAAAGAACAGGACAGTAAAAGAGGTCCTGTTTGGAAGTTGGTTCTACTGGGTAGGGAAGGGTAAAAGGAAAGTGTGAGGGAAGGTGAATGTGGTAGAAATATTATGTACTCACATATGAAAATGGAAAAATGAGATCTGTTAAAACTATTCCAGGAATAGGAGGCAGGTAGGATAAGGAGAATGATGGAGGGGGTAAATTCAACTTTGATATATTATAAGATCTTTTGTGACTATCACAATGTATCCTGAGTACCATAATAATATGATAATAAAAATATTAAAATAGAAAAGCAAACATAATGCTCAATGTGGTGGTACATGCCTGTAATCTCAGCACTCAAGAAGCTGAGACAGTGGGAGGGTCACCAATTTGAGGTGAACCTGAGCTATTTAGTGATAACTTTCTTTATGCCCCTTACCAAAATAATAATAAGTAAATTAATTGAAATGTATTAACTGAGATAGATAGTGACAATTATAATGCTAAGAATGTCAAATGCTCATTAATATAAACATAATAATTCCAAATCCACAAACTAGAAATAGAGAATTAGAGGGAAAAATAGATAGTTTGACAGGGTAGGAAATTTTAATGTCATTGTCTCAGTAATCAACACAAGCACACACCACAAAACTCAGAATACGTGAATGAACTATATTCCCAATCACCACCACTTAACTGATATTTATGCAACATCGCTCCCATGAAGAGCAGAACACACATGTGCTGTGGTCTGAGTGTGTCCTTGCCAAACATACCCTGAAATGTAATAGCCATCATGATAGTATTGAGAAGTAGGGTTTTTAAGATATAAGTAAATTATCAAGGTAAAGCCCTTATGAATGGATTAATGATTTTGTAAAAGTGGTAAAAGTTTGCTGTTTGCCCTATCCACTGTATGAAGACACAGTGTTTGTCTCTCCTGCCAGATGAAGGCACAGCAACAAGGTGCCATCTATACAGCAGAGAGCAAGTCCTTACCTGTTACAGATCTGTTGGTGATCTTGAACTTTTCAGCCTCCAGAACTGTGAAAAATTAATCTCTATTATTTGTAAATTGCCCAGTATTCATTTGATCATGCCCTTATACTGCACATAAATTTTTAACGGATACCTTAGGCTGGGTAATTTACATGTTTGAAATGATAAGACATGATGATCATTCTCTGAAAACCACCCGAACTCAGTGTCTGAGAGGGACTGAATATGGTGCCACTGGCCAAGGGTGACAAAGCATTTTTTACATTTCAATATTTAAGTAGAATGGATTTCATGTGGTGAAGCTTTTTCAACTTTGTCCTCATCGTTAACTCTTATTTTTCTGAACCTCATATTGTTACAAATTCTCTCTAACCCTTTTGTCAAAAATCCCCATGAGTTATGGAGATGTCCTTTTTGTGTCCTGCACACAGCACTCTAACTTTAAAATATGGCATTCACCATACTGACTGAAATTTTCATTTTGTGTTTGTAGATCCCTGGGATAAAGGTATCAAAGACAGTGTAATTTGTAATTACCATATCCTAATGAATTACTAGCTCATAAGTCAATGAAAATGTCCCTGGTAGAGAGAACTTTGGACCAGAGACACTCACCTGTCTGTTAAAAAGCCACACAGGGTGTTTCCCACCAACATTCCAGCCATAAATAGGAATTTAGCAACAGAATTCAGTGACTGATAGTCACACACCATTCCCCACTGAAAGAGAAGAAAATCAGCACAGAGGACTTAAACATCTCAGTGTAACCTGATCAAATTCCCCGGAACATTACAGCAAGTTTCATTGTATCAGGTGTCTATCTTCCTCCCCATCTTCCCTTTCCAATGTTATCTGACTTCTACTATCCAGGTTTCAACTTAAACATAACTGTCTCCAGAAGTCTCCCCTAAATCTGTAGGTTATATTAATGACCACTTTTAACCACTAATAGGCAGTTCTTAAACCTGGTCATACAGCACAACAATTTGAGGACCTTGAAGCACTTACTAAATTTTGAATATCAGTGCATACCCCCTCATATGACTCCCATTGGCATCGAGGTTCTGATTAATCTCCAAAATGTTTCTAATTTACAATGAAGGTTAAGAAATAGTGACATGACATACCATTTATAACAAAACACATGGATCATTTGCTGAAACTCTTGTCTTCCCAATAATAAAGCGTTGTGAGAGTAGCTTTCTATCAATTGTTCAATTCTTTAGACTCATTGAATGTGTTATTCACATTTAATAATACAGGCAATCAATATTGGTTTAAAGAAAGAAAAATAATCTGAAAGCATGAACATTACTTGTGTTACTTCTAAATAACCAAGTCATGAGTTCATGAGGAGAAAATGAAGGCACTTACCTCAGTCACAGTGGTGGAGAGGAAAGAGCTTTTGTCATACACCCAGCCATCCAGGCAGGGCTCTGTGTCTGGCTCGCTCATGTTTGAGAAGGTCCTATTTAGATGGAGGAGCTGCCACTGCGGATGGATGAAGCGACGGCATTTCTCTGGCCTCAGGTTTGAGTCCAGAGGGATGGAGATTTTCAGGAGGGCTTCTTGGCTGAGGATCCCCGTGTGATTGTCAGAGACAGTGTCATTGTCGAGGATGTGGACCCAGCAGCGATGACCGGGGACGGCTGCAGTGAAATTCTCCAATATAACATGAGGATACACGATGAAATTGCAGATTGTAAGGATAACCATGTGAATTATCTGAAATCTTCCCAGGCTGCCGACCTCATCCAGGAGTTCCTGAAATGCCATTGAGACTGAGTGAATAGGAGGTGAAATGATTACATCTAGATAAGGAAAGAAAGTTCAATTTCCCTAATATGCTCTAGAGGAGGTTGGTCCTGCCCCCCGTCTCCCTAATGGACTCCTTTTCTCTTCTGTAGCAGGGCAATAGAACTAGTATCCTCTAGTGACTTGGGGCCAGGTAGTTAGCTGTTTTCTTTAAAGTCATTGAGGGAAGGATTCTGCTGATTTGCTTTTTGTAATTAAATCTGTTAAAGATCTACTCTTGACAAATCTTTTCCTGTGTAATGTCCAACATTTAACACTGGACATTGATCTTCAGATTTCTCTGTAAACAAACCCAAGAAGAATAGCAACTTAGGGCACAGTCTTTTACACAATATGTAATTTGTGAGACTCAGAATGAAGTCTTTTGGGTTTTCCTGTGGGAGGAAGTTAGAGTAAGCATTTTGTTTGTTGAATTTTATTTAAAGAGTTCATGTGAATAATCCCAAATTAAATTAATTCAAGTGAAGCATGGTGTAATTCTCTCCACATTCACTAACTGACTTTTTGCTTCTGTTCAAATCATACCACAAATTTCCATTGAAAGTATATTACTTAAAGTGGGGTAAGGTTTGGTGTAGACGGAAGACAGACGAATTAGCCAATGCTAATGTCACATAGATTTATTGACTGTTTCATTTCTAATATTTCTATCTTTTTCATCATTTTCCACTTCTTTGCTGAATTTGTCATCTATGTTGCTGACTTTCTTGTGTAGGTCATGAGTTAATTTTCTAAGTTCATTTTTCCATTAATTTGACTCTCTTTGACATCATTGGTCATCTTTTAATAGTAAGCTAATGAATTTAGTATGTGACATTTCACCTTTGGATTCAGTTGTTGAATTGTGAGGTTTTGGAGAAATTTTTATGCTGTGATTTTCTTATCTGTTTTTAAACTTCTTTGTATATGCTGGAGAACCTACTCAGTAATAAGAATAACAATTCATCAATAAACCAAATATATCAATAAGTAAGAATCAATTGGAACTCAAATCTGCCCCCCTAAATAAGGTTATCTAACAGAAAAAGTGATACAAAGGATGGGACAGGAAAGGAAGGAAGTTGGAAGACAGGAAAGGAGAGGGGAGAAGATATAGAAGATAATCAATTGCGTGAGAGAGCACTGTATAAAATTTACAGAGAAAATCCCCCAAAATAAAAAACAACAATAACATTAAGCATATAAACTAACAAAAACAAACAGACAATAAAAACCAGTGCAGTGGCCTGCACTTCCTGAGGAGGCTTGTCTTTATGTCCTCACACATGCAGTGTGTGAGGCCTGAGTGAGGATGCACCTGAGCTCAGGCTCTGGCTTGTGACTGCTGAGCAGAGTTATTTTTAGCAGTGCTAAAAACTGGAGCAAACAAAGCACACCAGCTGGGATTTCTTGCTGAAGAGAGGTGTGGATGTAACCTGTGCCCTGTCCAATGTCTGTCATTCCCTCCAATCTTTATCCTTAGAGATCCATCTGTTTTTTTACTGCATTTGGATACTGCAGCTCTCTGGACAACTGACTGGAGGAGCTCCTCTTTAGAAGCAGCCTGCTATGGGTGCTATAGCAATCCCTTCAGCCTATGGGTCCCTCAGATGTTGGAGCTCCCAGAGCCCAGGACCAAGCAAGTGGTGTTTCCAAGTCAACAATTCTGGACAGTGGGGACCTGACACTGCTGGTGAGCTTGCCAAGCTGCTTCTCATCCCATCCCAGCCAGGGCAGCCTGGTAGGTTTCCTATGTTGCTGCTTTCTTATCGGCTGGGGCTTCTAGTTCTGCAGGCAGGACTGCGTGGAAATGGGATCTCCTAGCCTCAGTAGGCCTTCCTGTCTCTGTTAAGGTGGGGCTGCTTCCCGAAGCTATCTATGTGATGTGGGCATGGCTGCTTTCTGCCAGCAGTGGCTGAAAACCCATGGGTAACACACTTTGCCCATGAGGCAAAACTCTGCCCTCATTTTCTGAGTTCAACAATGGCCCTTCAGTCACATGCAGCAGCTCATGGCCTTTTCTCTTCTCTCAACTAGAACAGTGTCTATGGAGCAGTATAAACTCCCACTGATTTGCTGGGTCCACACTGAGTCTAGATTGAAATTTTATTTGATTAGTGGGGTTTGGGAGTACTTGGGGGTGGGGGTGTTGGAGGTGGAGAGGAAAAGCAAAACAAAGAGACAAAAAAAGCCCCAAATGGTTTGAAGCCACTTTCCAGGGGAAGGTTTGTCTTTATGTCCTCACACATGCGTTGTGTGAGGCCTGAGTGAGGATGCACCTGAGCTCACGCTCTGGCTTGTGACTGCTGAGCAGAGTTGTTTGTGAAGCATGCTAAAGTCTGGCGCAGTCTCTGCCTCACCACAAACCCATGTTGAATTTAAGGCTTGTGGGAAATACAGGCTTTTTATTTTCACCTGAGAATGCAGGACTGGACCCTTTGCATTTCCTTTTGATTGTGTCTTTAGTAGGGCTTGGAACTTCTTGCTGATATTCTTGTTATCTTTGCTTCTCCGTGATCATTTGCAGTATTGCCACCTCTTTTGTGTTTCCAAGAGCTCTTCTTCCCTTTCTCTTTCTTCAGGATATAGTTGCTCTTGAGTCATCTGGCTTTTCTCATTTATAGAGTCAAAACAATGGATGCTTCTAATCCGGCATTTTGCCTCATTCCTGAAAACTGCCACATGATCCAACTTGGCAGTGGATCTTGTGAGGTTTACCTATAGCCATATAATTTAACTTGGGTGTCTATATTTTCACAGTCAAGTTGTGAGATTACTGATACACTGGTAAGTTTTATGATGGCTCCAAATGTACTAATCTGATGGAATCAGTGATTTTGTGGAATTCTCTCTTTAGTGTAGCTAGAACTTTGAATATGTATCTGATTAATATAATAAGGTAAATTTATATGAATATGCTTCTCTTTCATGATTTTGCTGCTGGTGTGTGGAGTCTGTGATCATAAGACTTCCAAATTCTTTGTGTCCTGAGGAAGGCTCCATCCCAGGACATATGGGTGTAAATGGAGTTTATTAAAAGTTAGGGGAGGGAAATATAAAGGGGAGAATGGTAGGGTGCAAATGGAATCTGCAGGCAGAAAGATCATGCTTCTCTTCTCCAAGTGCTTTTAAAATTTATGCTAATCTCTGGGAAGGGCGAAACCAGGTGATTTCCATTCAATAATCAATGAGTGGGGAGTGGAGTGGATGGTTCTCAGGCCAGGTGAGGGCAATCCCTGAGGTAGAGCATGGTTAACCTGAGATGTAATGTTTTTCTGTGAGTCCCAAACTTTTCCTAACTTTAGCCTGCTTCATTTTCCCTTTGAGGGATAAGATCCCCCCAAATTTTTTTTTGAAGTTGAGGGGCTGGAGTTCTGTTTTTCATCTGAATCAGCTTTGAGCTGACAAGGGGCAGCAGACCCTACCTGCAAGGGAAGTTGTTTCTTCTACTTTTTTCCCTTGGGGCTCACTTGGATACAAGGTGTCTAAATTGTCCTGAACAATCAAGATTTCTCATGGACATCTAGGTTGTTCATGGAGATCTCATTCCTCTGTAGAGATTGATAGCCCTTGTTAGCTCATGATTTGGGTTCTAAAGGCTTTTATCCTGGAAGAGGTAAATTAGATTTGGAAGGTATGACCTGAATATGAACAATGATAGGAGCATCAGAAGGGGCCTGCCAGGTATAGTAGGAAGGGTAAAGAATCTAACTTTTCATTTTGAAAAGTGACAGAGAATGTTATGGAGGTTTAAACAGAAGAAATGTGTTTATTTGTATTTATTTATTTTCTCTCACTTTTGAAGCCTACAAGTTCAAGAACAATGTTCTAGCAGGGTTGGTTTGTAGCAAGGTATCTTTCTGTAGCTTGTGGAAGACTACATTCTTGCCATGTCCTCACATGGCCTTTCTTCTATGCACACACAAAAATAGGGCATCTGGTATCTCTGTCTTGAGATAAGATTAGTTCTAATATTTATTAATTTTCTGCCTTAATGATCTTTCCCTTCCTGTAAGTGGGGTGTTGATCTGACTATTATTAAATTGAAGTTAATTCCTCCGTTTAAAGCTATTAATATTTGGTAGGAATGGTGTTTGAACTCTGGACTTCATGCTTGAAAAACAAGCATTCTCCTACTTGATATATGCATTCCAGTCCATAATATTTGCTTTATATAATTGTCTGATACAGTGTCAAGGTCATATATGTTTATAATTATGATAGTCTCTTTCTATCATTATATAATGACTTTCTATGTCTAATTTGGCAGTTTTTTAAAAATTGATTTTATCTGATATAGCTCCCTTTGTTTTCCATTTATGTGGAATATCAGTTCCCGTCTTTCCCCTTTTAGTCTTTGTGTGTCCTTACAGGTGAGTTGAGTTTCTTGTAGGCAGCATATAGTTGGGTCTTCTTCTTTATTCATCACTCTATATCTTGTAATTGGGAAATTTAATTTATTTAAATTTAAGGTTATTAATGATAGATGTATATTTACTCTTACAATTAACAATTTGTGAATTTTTGTAGTTGTTTTGTAGATCCTTTGTTCCTTTTTCTTCCTTTGTGATATGATGGCTTTCTGTAGTGGTATACATTGGTTCTTTAATTTTTTTCTTTTGTGTAAGTGTTATGGCTTTTGTTTTGTGGATTTTTTGAGCTTTACCTAAAACATATATGTATGTAAACATGCATATGTTTACATAAAATATATTAAAAAACATAATACTTGTGCCAGATTCATTTAAGGTGGTAACAACTTAATTTTACTCGTGTATACAAATTCTCCATTTCATTCCCCTTACAACCATAGTTTATGTTAGAGACACCACACTTAACACTTTCTATAAAATATTCCTCAGAAAATTATTGTAGCTTTAGTTGTTTTTAATAGTTCTGTATTTTTTAGTTCCCTTGCCCATTTCTTTATTGGTTCATTAGTTTTGAGAGAATTTAGTTTTTTAAGTTCCCTATGTATTCTG